GACAAGGGCCCCATGTGGGCATCCATCTGGTGGTAACCTCCAGACACCAGAATCTTGCTTTATTAGCTTACAGTTTCTACAGTCCTCCATAAAGCTTTAGACACGATAATTTTGGGCAATTAAAGCAACATCCTTCCAAATACCTTAGTTCTTACAGGCCTGGCTGGACACAGAGATTAATCCCTGCCTCATCACCTCTCAAGGGTACATGGATAACGGGTAAGATTCAGCTTCTATGTTTACAGGTGTTTCCATGAATTGGAAGTAACTGGATAATAATTTACCTGTTTATTAACAGATCTCTCTGTGTTTAGCACTAAGGACACAAAGATAGCTATTACAGTATGTTCTGTATGGTCCCTACCCCCGAGGAGATGAGAAGGTGGAAACAGCAAGTAAATAAATTACAAGGTAAGAAACGTGATGAGAGGCATCTACTAAGTACTGTGATTGTGAAGGAAGTAATGAACGTGGTTTGGTCAAGGAAAACATTAATGAAGAACAGAATTTGAAAAATAGATTAAAGTTATTTTTGGGAAGTTAATTTTGGGAAGGTATCCTGGGTTAGTATCATGTACAGACACAGAAATTGGAAAAAGGATAATGAGTTCAGAGAACTGTAGTTTAACTGTGCAGAGTATGTTATGTGTGTGTGTGCATTAGTGATGAGGCTATCAGTTTAGACTTCTCTCAGTAATGTGGAATTATAAGCAGGAAAGAGAAAAGAATCAAAAAAGAATACTGTGGCCTGCTTTGTATTTTGGAAAAATCTGCGTAGTGCAGGGTTTCTCAACCTCAGCACTATTGACCTTTTGGGCCAAATAATTCTTTGTCTCGGGAGGCTGTCCTGTGCATTGCACAATTTTTAGCAGCCTCTACTCAGCATCCACCAAGTTGTGAAAACCAAAAACGCCTCCAGTCTTTGTCAAATGTTCCCTTGAGGTAAGAGTCAACCCTGGTTGAGAACTACAGCTGTTGTGGGGTGAGGGTGGGCAGAAGGCAGTAAAACTGGGAGCTGGGAAAATACCTCAAAACAGGATCTCAAAACAGCCTAAAGAAAGTAGATTACAGTTTGGACTATGAGGCTGGACTCAGTGATAATTAGGAGGCAGGATTGACTTTGACTTGGGAGGTGAGTAAGAAAGCAAGAAGGCAAGGATAAGCCACAGAGCAGCCCAAGAAACCATTTGTATTACACCGGGAGAGAAGCCTCAGTATTGTTTTGAGAATTATCAGTGAGTCTACTCTGAAGACTACACAGATGCATGGGGGTGGAGCCCTACCCTGAAAATCCCACATGTCTCTGGAGTATTAACTTTAGGGCAGTTATTTCGATGGAGTTTTAATTTCACTCTGGCTTTCTTAGGAAATCCAGAGAGAAAGAAGCATTTACTTCCCAAGTCAGGTTGGTTTTATCCTTGTTGAAGGGTGGGTGTGTATTTTGTGTTTTGACTTATTTTCAATTGTATGAGCATTAATTAATGGTAAATCACCTCTGCGTTGGACGTACCTGCTATTTTTGCAGTAGGTATGTCCCATAATCTTCATCACCACAAATACTTACGTAGCAGTGACAACAGTCCCCTTGCACTTGATCTTCTTCACAACCTTGTGGTGTAGGTACAACAGAGAGAGGTAAAGGAAACTTACCTAAAGTCACACAGCTTCGTTAAGTGGTGGAGCAGAGCAGGATTTGGACCCAGCCTGGCTCCAGAGATCTTAACTATCATACATTACACACCAGCCACCAGTGTGTACCCATGTCTGGTTAAAAGATCTGTAAACAGGCCCCATTCAGTCTCTGGTGAACTTGGAACAATTTCAGTGGCATAGAAAGGGCACAACAGGGACTGCAGAGCATGGGATGTGAGGAGTAAGCTTGATTGTAAAGAGGTGGAACGAGTGGGACACTGAGTTTTGTTTTTTTAAAGGTCAGAGAAATTTTAACACACTCCTTAACAGGTGAAAGGAAGGAGCAAGTAAAGCAGGAGAGAAGAGGTACGATAACCTCTAAGTGCCTGGGATTAAGAACCTCGGAGGAGAGCTTTTCCACTCATACAAGGGCTTCTCAACTCAGCACTACTCATATTTTGGACCAGATAATTCTGTGTTGTGAGGTACTGTCTTGTGCATTGCATTATGTTTAGCATCATCTCTGGCTTCCACCCACTAGATGCCAGTAGCATCACCCAGTTGTGAGAAAATCTGTAACTTAGAGCTCTTCACTCACATTATCCAGTATAACTTTCTGCAATGATGTGACCGTTGGGCAGGTGAAAAGTGGCTAGTGCAAGGGAAGAACTAAATTTTAAAGTTTATTTCATTTTAATTAACTTATTTAAATAGGCGCATGGTGCTACAATATTGGACAGTGTCACCTAGAGAAAACCCAGCTCTGTCACTATTCTAGGATCAGTCCAATCCAACATCACTTTTCTATAAGAGCCCACCTCAATTTATAGCCAAAATCCTCAAGGTGAACAAGGTCGGGGAGAGGTAGCTGATGGTGTAACAAAGTTGGTTCTGTCCAACAAAGTCTTTTTTAGCAGGGCCGTGGGACTATTACAGGGTGTGTTAACCTAACTATACAACCATCAAAGCATGTTGCCTCACCTTGAGTAACGTATGACCCCCGTGCTTCTCATATACAGTGTCCGCCTTGTCCAATGAAGTAATGTGAACGGGAAGGAAGTTGGAAGCCACAACTGTAAGCCACGTTCACTGATTTTCCTTAAGAAAGGAAGAAGGAACTTATTTTATACAATGAAAAACTACCAACCAGTATAAAACTGCTGTGTGTATAAGTCAACTAAAGTTCTCTACAGAGGAAAACAGCTTTTCAAAGTTAAATACTGGTTACAAAGGAACAAATGAAGTATTTAGTTTTGCCTTCTATGGCAAACAGGGCCATAGAAGCACCCATTCTGCAGTTACCACAGACGTTTCTTAAAGCCACATATTTGACATTTCATCTCAGCGAAGCCACACATCATATTGCATTAGTTAATTATTCAAATGTTAAATCTGTATAGTAATCTCATGAGTAAACTCAAGATATGAAGAGAAAGTGAGGGGTGAAGCTAGGTGTAGAAAGTGAAAGAAGGATTTTCCGGAGAAATATACAAAGAACTAAAGCTACGAGGGAAACCTCCAAGATAACAGAAACTACTTTGTCATCTGGTTCACATACAGTGCCTAGAAGAGGGACTGGTACATAGAAGTACTCTTAATTATTTATGTTGGAAAGTTACTACAACATATACTGAATTTCCAAGCACTAAACTGACACAGAAGAGAAATGTGACCAAAGTAGGTAGATAATTTTTAAAGTGAAGGCTCCAGCCAGCCCCTGGTGGACATTAATGAAAGATATAGGATTAGGTGCCTGAACCACGATCAGACTCCCAGCGTCTCAGAAAACGATGGGGACTGGCGCCCTAAGGCTCACCATCTGGTCTATAGCTTCGGCGCCCTTGGCGATGCAGTAATCGGACTCCAGAAGCGTGTAGAAGAGAGTGCACTTGCCAGCGTTGGTGGCGCCAACCACATAGACGTCGCCGCGGTAGCGTCAGGAACGCTGGAGCGCGGAGATCAAACTCTTCGACTCCATAGCCAGTCTTGAAGCTGATGAGCCGTACGTCTCTGAGCATCGTGCTGGACTTGGGCGAAGGATTCGCTTTCTCCTGCTCGTCCCGTGGCCGGTCCCCGCTGGGGTGTTGTGGCCTTCGGTAGCCAGGGGGCGGCAGGAGCCCGGCGCGGGCACAGTCGTTCCACAGTCGCTCCTGGAGCCGCTGTCGGTAGCCGGGAGTATCCAGGGGCAGTAGGTTCACCTTGTTTCCCAGCAAGATCAGCTGCTTGGGGCCCACCGGCGCGGGCAGGTGCGGCAGCAGGGCGTCGGGCAGATCAAGCAGGTCCATCACGTACAGTACCAGGGCGAGCTTGGGCCTCCGCAGCGCGGCGGTCACCAGCTCCAGGTACTGCTCGCGGCTCACCTGCAGGTGCAGGGCGCGCCGGTGAAACACCAGCAGTCAGCAGCGCTGGCACACGGTCCGGGTGCATCTGCCGGGAGTTCCGTAGTTCCTGCTGCTGCCGCTCCTCCCGCCGCTGTAGTACCGTCGCTCCTCCTCTTCCTGCCGCTGCTGCAGCTCCCGCAGCTGGTCCTAGAGGGTCACTGCGGGCTCCGAATCCGGGACGTACTCGGGGAACAGAAAACTCTCCTCCATGTCAGCCCTTCCTTGGTTATCCCCAGTCGCTGTCGCGCCACGGGGAAGCCCACATCCCAGGCAGGATGGGTACAGGGAGGAGGAGTTGGCCTCACATCTCCTCTCGAGGAGCGTCTCCCGGAGGCCATGGCGCGCTATCGTGGGAGTGGATCCCCGCAGGAAGCTGCATAGCAGCCTGAGTGAGGCCCGTGGGCAGCATGAGAAACGAGGGCGTGGGCAAAAGGGGCTGAGCCACCTTTTCTCACGTGCTCTGTGGCCCCAGATGTGCGTATAACAGTAGAGACTACCTGAGAGCTGTCATTTGTCAGGGTCGCACTTCGGCTCCTCCTCTCGCGTCTGATCTCGTAGTTCTCGCGAGGAAGGCTCTGTGGCCTGAGAGCCCAGTTGAAACCGAGATAAAGGCACCGGGGGCTTAAGACTACGGTGGGTTGGTCGAATAGGCTAGCGAGTGAGGGTTTGTTCACTTTCAGGCTTCTTCAACGCGCCGCCGCTGGCACCATCTTCTGGTAAGAAATCACATTTTTAAAATCTTCGTGTTTTTTTGTCTTTGGAACTGGAAAAAAATAGAAAATCGAATGCCGCAGACATATGGCCACAATTTTAAAACATCTTTATATTAGAGGATAATTGCTTTACAATGGTAAAAACCTTTCATTAATACATCTTCTTGGCTCTTTTTCCATGTGTCATTTGTGCAACAGCATTAAAAAGCAAAAACTTTCATTGGCTAGATCCAAAGCTTGAGAGTGTAGAAGCAGCCCCTGCTTCAACCACTTGAAGCTTCAGCCCACAACTTGCGCATGTGCAGTTCTAGCCGTCAGCAAAGCTTAACCTACACTTTGCCCAGGCGCAGAATTAATATTGGGCCTTTTTTTTCCGCTCCCCCTGCCCCTCCCGCGCCGTGAGACGCAGAGTATTCTGGGAACGCCCGACACGGAAATGTTTTCTTTCGACGCTGCGTAGGCCTGTGGGCGCTTGGCTTTTCTCTCTGTGGCTTTGAGAGTTAGCTTCTCGTGAACCGTTTGTCAATATGTGTGACGCACACGAGGGTAGGTGACCACTCAGAACACTCCGCGGCGACCCATCTAAGGGGGGAAACGTGGGTAGCTGGACGAATTGAGGATTTGCGGCCTCCTCCCCGGCCCGTCGCACCATGGCCCCAGTCGTTTCCCTACACTCCCGAGGCCGGGAACGAATCCGGGATTTTGAGAGGTGGAGGGTGCAGGGAACGTAGCCTTTATCATCTCGGTCAGGGTGACTCTTGTTCTCTCCTCTGTCTGCCCCTGGGTGAGTCTGACACTCCCTTCCCGTGCTGAAAATAGCGCGCAGAACCATGCGACAGGTTCCGTTGTTCCGACTTTGAAGCAAAGGACTCCTTTCCTGATTTTCCTTAAGGCCAGAGTTAATGAATTTATGAATAGTTGAATTTTTGAGCGTCAGCCTGTGCCAGGCATTGTGCTAGGCTCTGGAAATACTCCGGGGACAAAGAGTATTGAGAGGAGGGGAGCAGGGATTAGTCTGTTTTGGCGTTCCTTCATGCTGTCACGTGCCTAAGTAAATTATCTTAAAAGATGACTTTTCCATTTCCTCTTTCCACAAGATGACACAGTTCTAGGTGCCGTGTGTTTCACTGAACAGGGACCAATATATCTTTTTTTTCCTTTCTATATGTAGAATTCTTAGTCATGTCTAGTGTATTTTCATTATGTATTTTTAAAGCTCCCAATTCCATTCTCTACAGCTTCTATTTCTATGTCGTTTTCTTCTAGCTCCTTATACCGTGTTCACCCCTCACATTTATCCTTATTTTCTCAGCTGCTTCGTGGAGAAAATAGAAGAAGCTTAAACTCTACTGTTTAAACTTCTGTCACTTTTAATCTTGAGTCTATTAGCATCGTTATTATATTCTCTCTCTCTTTTTTTTTTTACATTCTCTTAACTTCTGTGTTGGAAAAAAAGTGAAAGTTTTTTTAGCTTTATTTTTGAGTAGGTAATATATTCTCATGGCTCACAAGCCATGAAAATGTAAAGTGTAAGGTCTTATTCTTGTCGGCCATCTCTCCTGTGTGAGCCCTCTCCATCATAAGTAACCACTGTTCTTTAGAGTCATAAGTAACCACTGTTCTTAGATTCTTAGCTCTCCAGATGCTTTATTTATATTCAAGGAAATACAAGTATAGTATTCTTTTTTTCTTTTTACAAGTTTATTTATTTATTTTTGGGTGCATTGCACATGCTTTGTCTAGTTGTGGCGAGCAGGGGCTACTCTTTGTTGAGGTGTGTGGGCTTCTCATTGCGTTGGCTTCTGTTGTTGAGGAGCACGAGCTCTAGGCGCACGGGCTTCAGTAGTTGTGGCACACGGGCTTTGTTGCTCCACGGCATGTGGGATCTTCCCAGACCATGGATCGAACCCGTGTCTCCTGCATTGGCAGGTGGATTCTTAACCACTGTGCCACCATGGAAGTCCCTACGAATATAGTATTCTGTTTTCCCCCTTTTTACAGACAAAAAGTAACTTCACATTTTTCTGCACTTTTATTTTTTGCTTTATCTACTATATCCAGGAGATTTTCATATCAGTACATAGAGAACATCCTAATTTTTTTTCACAGCTACTTAGTTTGTCTGGATATACCATAACTAAAGTTGTGTCTTGATGGATAGTTGGGTTATTTCCAGTCTTTTCCTGCTTCAAACAATGCTGTAATGAGTAATCTTGTACGTATCATTTTGTCCAATACAAATATATCTGTAGGATAAATTTTTAGGTGTAGAATTGTCAGGTCAGATAATGTATACATGTTACACAAAATATTAACATTTTGCTAAATGGTGCCAAGTGACCACTGTAGTGATTATGCTAATTAGTATTCTCTTAACAATGTATAATAATCCTGTGGGAAAACAGTTAACGTTATCTCAGTTATCAAGTTTGCTCCAGCATTGAGTCTCAATTCCAGTCCTGCTTGTGTCCTTTGATCATTATTTGATATGCCCTCATCAGTTTTTAGACACTCTTTCTTCAGCTGGCTTCTTTCTGTGTGAAATACTAGATCTCTCTTGTCCTCAAGAAAGCAAGTTGAATGGTTTATTTCCTTTTTCTTCCAATATTTTGAGAAAACGAGTGACTTCTCAATTGATAAATCAGATGGACATTTTTTAAACCTTATCTAAACCCTGTGGCAGTCAACACTGTTGATGACTTTCTCATGGAAAGTCATTCCTTCTATCTGCAACATCACTCTCACTTAATTCTTCTTACCTTTGTGGCTTTTTTTCTCTTTCTCTTCTGCTATTCACATTATCCCTGGATGATTTCATCCCTTCTCCATGGCTTCAGTTTCCATACGTGGATGACTTCTGAGTACAGTCAGTCCTCCATATCAGTAGGTTCTGCATCTGGGAATTTAACCTCAGATGGAAAATATTTGGGAATACAGTGCCAGGAAGGAAAACTTGAATTTGCCTTGAGCTGACAACTATTTATAGGTATGCCTTGTTTTATTTTGCACCTCTTTTTGTGCTTCACATTACTGTTCTTTACAAATTTAGGTTTATGGCAACCCTGGATTGAGCAAGTCTGTTGATGCCATTTTTAAACAGCATTTGTTCACTTCATGTCTCTGTATCAGATTTTGCTAATTCTTGCAATATTTCAGACTTTTTCATTATTATATTTGTTATGGTGACCTGTGATCAGTGATCTTTGATTTTACTACAGTGAGTCTCTGAAAGATCAGATGATGGTTAGCAATTTTTCACGAAATGTATTTTTTAATTAAGGTATATACATAATTTTTTAGACATAGTGCTATTGCATAATTAATAGACTATGGTGTAGTATAAACATAACTTTTATATGCCCAACAGGCTTTCTGTCTTGTTCAATTGATCTGTATTTGTTTTTGTGCCAGTACCATACTGTTTTGATTACTGTAGCTTTCTAGCATAGTCTGAAGTCAGGGAGCCTGACTCCTCCAGTGGCATTTTTCTTTCTGAGAATTCCTTTGGCTATTCGGGGTCTTCGTTGTTACCATACAAATTTAAAAAAATTTTGTTCTAATTTTGTGAAAAATGTGTAAAAATGTGTAATTTGATGGGGATTGCACTGAATCTGTAAATTTCCTTGGATAGTATACTCATTTTGACAATATTGATTCTTCCAATCCAAGAACAGGATATATCTTTACATCTGTTTGTGTCTTCTTCCATTTCTTTCATTAGTGTCTTAAAGTTTTTGGAGTACAGATCTTTTGCTTCCTTAGGTAGGTTTATTCCTAGTTATTTTATTCTTTGAATGTGATGTTAAATGGGATTGTTTCCTTAACTTTTCTTTCTAATCTTTCATTGTTAGTGTATAGAAATGCAAGAGATTTCTATGTATAAATTTTATATTCTGCAACTTTAGCAGAATTAATTCTTTTTTTTAATTTTTCAATTTTATTTTTATACAGCAGGTTCTTATTAGTTATTTATTTTATACATATTAGTGTATATATGTCAGTCCAGTCTCCCAATTCATCAGACCACCACCACTTCCCCCCCACCACTTTTTCCCCTTGGTGTCCATACGTTTGTTCTCTACATCTCTGTCTCAATTTCTGCCCTGCAAACCAGTTCATCTGTAGCATTTTTCTAGGTTCTACATATATGCATTAATATACAATATTTGTTTTTCTCTTTCTGACTTACTTCACTCTGTAGTCTCTAGATCCATCCACGTCTCTACAAATAACCCAATTTCATTCCTTTTTATGGTTGAGTAATATTCCATTGTATATATGCACCACATCTTCTTTATCCATTCATCTGTTGATGGGCATTTAGGTTGCTTACATGTCCTGGCTATTGTAAATAGTGCTACAGTGAACATTGGGGTGCATGTGTCTTTTTGAATTATGGTTTTCTCTGGGTATAGGCCCAGTAGTGGGGTTGCTGGGTCATAGGGTAATTCTATTTTTAGTTTTTTAAGGAACCTCCATACTGTTCTCCATAGTGGCTGTATCAATTTACATTCCCACCAACAGTGCAAGAGGGTTCCTTTTCCTCCACACCCTCTCCAGCATTTCTTGTTTGTAGATTTTCTGATGATGCCCCATTCTAACTGATGTGAGGTGATATCTCATTGTAGTTTTGATTTGCATTTCTCTAATAATTAGTGATGTTGAGCAGCTTTTCATGTGCTTCTTGGCCATCTGTATGTCTTCTTTGGAGAAATGTCTATTTAGGTCTTCTGCCCATTTTTGGATTGGGTTGTTTGGGTTTTTTTGGGGGGGGTTATTTGTTTTTTTAATGCTGAGCTGCATGAGCTGTTTATATATTTTGGAGATTACTCCTTTGTCTGTTGATTCGTTTGCAAATATTTTCTCCCATTCTGCGGGTTGTCTTTTCGTCTTGTTTGTAGTTTCCTTTGCTGTGCAAAAGCTTTTAACTTTCATTAGATCCCATTTGTTTATTTTTATTTTCATTACTCTAGGAAGTGGATCAAAAAAGATTTTGGTGTGATTTATGTCAAAGAGTGTTCTTTCTGTGTTTTGCTCTAAGAGTTTTATAGTGTCCGGTCTTACATTTAGGTCTCTAATCCATTTTGAGTTTATTTTTGTGTATGGTGTTAGGGAGGGTTCTAATTTCATTCTTTTACATGTAGCTGTCCAGTTTTCCCAGCACCACTTATTGAAGAGACTGTCTTTTCTCCATTGTATAACCTTGCCTCCTTTGTCATAGATTACTTGACCACAGGTGCGTGGGTTTATGTCTGGACTTTCTATCCTGTTCCATTGATCTATATTTCTGTTTTTCTGCCAGTGCCATATTGTCTTGGTTACTATAGCTTTGTAGTATAGTTTGAAGTCAGGGAGTCTGATCCCTCCAGCTCTGTTTTCTTCCCTCAAGGCCTCATTGGCTATTCGGGGTCTTTTGTGTCTCCATACAAATTTTAAGATTTTTTGTTTTAGTTCTGTAAAAAATGCCATTGGTAATTTGATAGGGATTGCACTGAATCTGTAGATTGCTTTGGGTAGTATAGTCATTTTCACAGTATTGATTCTTC